AAAAAATAAAAAACACTAAAGAGCTGGGCCCAGCATGACAAAACATTGTAGGAAACCATCACATTCCCTGACAATTTTAGTTATTCAGATCCAGGAGACACTTTGGAGAATAAACTAAACAACCTGAAACACTTCTATAGTCGCAGGAAGAGCTTTGCGATTCAAAAGAAGTTAAAGAAAATGCTCTTGCATTGGAAGGTAAATCTTGCCGACCAGAATAAATAACAACCGCAGGAAGATGCGTGTCACGTACCATACATGACCTCTCAGTATGAAATAAACCTTTGAGGGACACATTTCAATATTGTAAGACTAGCTGAACCAATCAGGTGCTGTGTTCGCTGGCGAATGCAGGTTTTTAAAATCGAGGCGTTTGTCTGCAAGCGTTTCCTTCCTTCCCCTCCCCCTCCCCCCTCTTTCATTTTTTGGCTCTTGTTTCATTTCTCGCGCGGTCAAAACTGAAAATCCCGTTCCTTGGTTTTTTTTGCTCCGAAACTAAAGGGAAATGCTTGCTACGTAGGCTACAAGCAATATATGAAGACTAAAAAAACTAGACTAGAAAAATTCTGTTTGCTATTTTTCACTTGAAAGAAAAGAGAAACTTAAATGCATCAACCACACTTTTTCGTGCATAAACAACACTTAAGCTTTAATGGGCTTTGTCATGATATTGCAGCTGTTTCATGTCAATTCTGTGTTGAAGCCATTACTTAGTGTCTGGTTTCCAAGGATTTACTCTAAGGGGGTGTTTACATGACACCAGGGCGACTTTTGCACCGGCCCGAGTTCACTCTGGTTCCCTTTCATGGCTCTACATTTGTGTACATAATACTGTCACAAATGCCATGCCGTTGTAAGCCACCCCGAAGTGAGTTCATTCAGGTTGTTGTACTGGAGTGAGGTAAAAAATTTCACAATGGCATCATGTAAACGTGAAATGACCACCTGTTTCGGTGTGAAATCGGTCTGCAAGTGGTCTGCAATGGGTAGCACATGCATAATGTTTCAGATTTGATTCACACATGTATTTTATCAACATGTAGTGTACATTCAAATAACCGAGATATGAAATGACCCATCATCATATAAACATAACAAAAAGTCATCCCAGTATGAAACTCAGGCCAGTGCAATTTTGTCATGTAAACACCCCCTAAGCATTTGATGAAAAATTTCCAGCTGAGGCACCCAGGCCTCCAAAATGGTCACCCAAAAAGACATTTAAGGGAGCCCATGAGTCTCCCAAACTTTCCAGCTGAGCTTCCCAGGCCTTCAAGTTGGTCACATGAGTACATTTAGTTCATCAATCAAATTATTTTTCCAAGCAAGTCATAGTATTTTCTGTGCTGTGCTGATTGCTGAACTTGGTAATTTTAGCTTTAGGTGGCGAGAAAAACCCACATTTTGTCTATTCATGAAACCCATAAAGTTTTTGTGCCATACTGATTCCAAGAAATGTGGGCAATGTAGCCCAATTTTTCAGGGGTTTAACAGAAGGGGAAAAGAAAATTTGGCAGGCTTGTAAATTTTTTATAGAAATGTTTTTGAGTCAAGCACTTCACTTTTCTGAAGCCAGTTGTTAGTTGTCTCACTGTTCAGGTGAACACATTACATCATTGACATTGTGCAAATTATAGCCAGTGTCTGTAAAGCAGGTTAATTTTAGAAAAAAAAATATAATATGTGCTTTTTGTTAGAACAAACAAACCTCCCTATTATATTCAGGTTTCTTTGTTAAGCTGGTGTTCATACAGCGGGGTTCTACTGTTATTTTTTTATTGGTGATTTTGGCAAGCATAGCAGTTAAAATTTAAAAAATAAATATCCCGTTTTTTCCAAGTTTTAATCCATGTGCCCAACCTTGCCGTCAGGTGAAAGGAAATAGTTGCAGTGCCTGAATATTGCCTTGAATATTTTAAACCATTATCTTTGGAATTCAGCTGATGTAAATTTCACTCAGTGTAGCACTTTAAAACAACAGCAGATAGCTTGACAGCCTCTTTAAGTGCACACTTCAGAAAATTGTAATTATTTTTTGCTTTTAAGACTTTGTTTAACCTAAGTTTACTCGTAAATGAAATATTCCTCAATCATCTTATGGTTTTGTCCCGAGAGACAAGGGACAAAAGCTATCTAATTACAGCAAAAGTCAAATACAATGTTTTGTTGCTTGTAACTAATATTGGTGAAGGGCTCCAAAGGATCATTTGCTTTTCGACCAATCAGACAAAAGTCTAGATTCTAGACTTCAGGCAAACAACACATAAAGTAAATGTATCAGGTATCCTTTTCTCCTTTTCTCCCAAACAAAATGGAAGAAGGACCGCCTGATTGCAGGATTGCCAAGCTTAATTCCACTCGTAACTTAGTGTATATCAGGGTTCACACAGTCTTTAAAAGTCCTTGAATTCCTTTTTCCTTGAAAAGTCCTTAAATTTCTATGAAAGTCCTTAAAAAGTCCTTGACTTTTCTTCAACTTGGAATGTAGTGGCCTGGAAAGTGTTTTTAATTCTTTGTGGTTGTCCAAGACAGAAAATAAATCATAGTTTAGAGAACTTAAAGGTGATTCACATAAAGTGTTTGTTGTCTTTTGCATGAATTCTTTATCAGTTTAAGACAAGTAAACTGAAAAACGCAGAGAAGGTGGTGGAGCAAACAGTTCAAGCCTTAAAGTTATGTTAGAGTGCACTCAAGGGAATTTGCATTTTTGTTCAATAAGTGAAATTACATTCCTGGTAGGTGGTCCTTGAAAGGTCCTTAAAAATGGTTGCAATGTTTTTGTACAAACCCTGTATATAAATGGCATCATAATAATGTTAGTGACATTACACTCCTGTTTCAGTTAAATCCTGTTAATACGGACACTGAAGGGTCCGTAGAAAGTGTCCATATTAATGAGGTGTTCTTACTATACTAAGCTGGTTTAATGTTGTTGAGGTAAAAAAACCTTTTATTCAAATAAAATGCTAATAAAACGAAAAAGGAAAATAGCATTTTCAAATAAAACATCTCTAACCTTCAGAAAGCTGCCATTCTGTGGACTAAATTCACTGACACACTCTTTAACATTTATTCATATATTAATTAACCAAAACCATTCTCTTCTTAACTTATTTGATGCCAAAAGTAATTTACATATTGACGTCTACAAATCATCCTATCTGGTCTACTTTATTGCTTGGAACATCGACATATAGTGAACTGAAAGGTTTTGTCTTCAAGAAGGAAATGTTTATCACAACTTGAAGTTGACAATGAAGTGCCCACGTTAGTGAGGTTAACTTGATATGTGAGGATCTTGGTTAATTGGACATGAAACAAGTGTCCATTTTCTGTATTAAGGGATGTCTAAATTAAGTGGGTGCCCCTTAACCAGGGTTTGACTTGGTTTTATAATTAAACTGAGCAAATCCTCACAAGCTGATTGGTCGAGAACTATCATCTATGAGAGTATAGACCATGGCAATGACGTAAGATGTCACACAGGAAACTAAAAATAATTTTTATTGTAAAAAACAAATCGACCACAATTTTCCATGGCCTGCACTCTTATAGACCGTAGAAATAAGGCCATGGTACTTGTTATTCAGCAGACATTTTAAGGATTGTGAAGATTAAAGTTGTGTTTTCACTTAGACACTTTAAGCTTGAAAAATCCAAAATAACGGCAAAAATACCTCGTCTTGTGTCTAGTGAGTTAAAAATGCAAACTGTTTTCTCCAGTAAAAACAAGGGATTTTCTTGCCTTTATGACTAGAAATTCATGGTAAGTGAGTTATACTCTGTCATGAAATGGTATAACTTGCCACAATAAAATTAATATCACAGCCAACTGGGTTTTGTTTGGCAGAAGATGCCAGACAAATAGACTGACATAACTATTAGCCAGATACTTGCCTTGAAGTTCAGGGCCAATGAGACATCATAATGTGTTCAGATGTTTCCCTGCTTTTCTCGAAGTCCTTGCGCCAAAGATGATGTTGCTAAAGATAAATGAGGAGCCCTTCAAACTACAGTATTAGATCAACACATACTACTACAATTTTAGTATACTAATAGTGATTGATTTTCTTTTGGTGTAAGGTCATAAACACTATTACAACATGTCTTCCCATCTTTCCTATTTTTAGGGAGATTAACCACATTTTTTAGGGAAATTCCTTTGACCTCGTTTAAATAGCAGGAATTTGGATAGCAGCAGCCAATGAGAGAAAGAGCATTCAAAGCACTTTGTCTTTCTTCTTCTTTTGAATGTGGCATGCTTTTGTCATTTAAATCCTTTGAGATGTGGTATGGATTTTGCAGGGGGCAAGTGAATTCTTTTCTTAACTTCCCAACGGGTTAGTTCATTTTGGGGGGAATTCAAATTTCTGAAGTATTGTGACACAAATTGTTGTTTAAATTCCTAATAATCTCATGTGGATCAAAAGATGTTTTTCAAGCAGCTCTGAAAAAGTAAAATTGTCACAATAATTGTAAAAATACATTATGATTGTCATTACAATGAATTAAAAAGAATTAATTTAGTAAATAATAATTGAATGGTTATCTTGCTCTTAAATGTCTCTCATACTCTTATGTAGTAGCTACAGCCTGCCTGGATAGCAAGTGGTCAAACTGACTTTCTTTAAACCCTGGCTATTACAGAGGATCAAAAGGTGGAAGGCAGACATACAGAAACGAAAAATCACACGTTAAATTGATGAGAGTGTCACCACTGTTCTAGTGCAGTGTCCTAATTGGGGATGTTCCTGGGACAAAGTGTTTGCCCTTCTGTATTTTCCTCCACTCTGGCCTATTTGGCTCTTCAAAGAAAAATGCCAATTTGTGGGGGTAACCCTGGGGTGGCACAAGGCTGATGTGGATGTAGTTGCAATTGACTGATGCATTACATTGTACAAGAAAATGTATTTTTTAAAATAAGGTAGATTTAATGTTTTAGGAACGTTGAATGATTGTCTTTATTTTATGTCAAAAAGGTGCAGAGGAACCTACAGTCCATGTCTTCAAGGTGTAAAGAGCGTTACAAGTGTTTTAGTGAAGAAAGAAACCTAAGGAGACATGAAAGAGTTCACACCGGGAAAAAGCCTTATGAATGTAAACAGTGTGGCAAGTGTTTTAGGCAATCAGGGAAACTAAGGAGTCATGGAAGAGTTCACATTGGGGCAAAGCGTTTTGAATGTAATCAGTGTGGCAAGTGTTTTAGCAAATCAGGAAACCTAAGGAAACATGAAAGAGTTCACACTGGGGAAAAGCCTTATGAATGTAAACAGTGTGACAAGTGTTTTAGCCAGTTAGGAAACCTAAGGATTCATGAAAGAGTTCACACTGGGGAAAAGCATTATGAATGTAAGCAGTGTGGCAAGCGTTTTAGCCAGGCAGGAACCCTAAGGATTCATGAAAGAGTTCACACTGGGGAAAAGCCTTATGAATGTAAACAGTGTGGCAAGTGTTTTAGCAAATCAGGAGACCTAAGGAGCCATGAAAGAGTTCACACTGGGGAAAAGCCTTATGAATGTAAACAGTGTGGCAAGTGTTTTAGCCAGTTAGGACACCTAAGGATTCATGAAAGAGTTCACACTGGGGAAAAGCATTATGAATGTAAGCAGTGTGGCAAGTGTTTTAGCCGGGCAGAAACCCTAAGGATTCATGAAAGAGTTCACACTGGGGAAAAGCCTTATGAATGTAAACAGTGTGGCAAGTGTTTTAGCAAATCAGGAGGCCTAAGGAGGCATGAAAGAGTTCACACTGGGGAAAAGCCTTATGAATGTAAACAGTGTGGCAAGTGTTTTAGTCATGCAGGAAGCCTAAGGAGTCACGAAAGAGTTCACACTGGGGAAAAGCCTTTTGAATGTAAACAGTGTGGCAAGTGTTTTAGGCAAGCAGCACACCTAAGGATTCATGAAAGAGTTCACACTGGGGAAAAGCCTTATGAATGTAAACAGTGTGGCAAGTGTTTTAGTCAAGCAGCAAACCTAAGGATTCATGAAAGAGTTCACACTGGGGAAAAGCCTTATGAAGTGTGGCAAGTGTTTTAGGCAGTTAGGACACCTAAGGATTCATGAAAGAGTTCACACTGGGGAAAAGCGTTACGAATGTAAACAGTGTGGCAAGTAATTTAGCCAGTCAGGACACCTAAGGATTCATGAAAGAGTTCACACTGGGGAAAAGCGTTATGAATGTAAACAGTGTGGCAAGTCTTTTAGCAAGTCAGGACACCTAAGGAGACATGAAAGAGTTCACAAGGAAGAAAAACGTTTTCGTCATGATGTAGGCTTGCAGACGCATAAAAGTGTTCACACTGGGAAAAAGCCAGTTAAATGTAAACAATGTGGCAGGTGTTTCAGTGCAGTAGGAATTCTGAAGAGACATGAAAGGTTTCACACCAGAGAAAAGCCTTATGAATGTAAGCAGTGTGGCGAGTATTTTCATCATTCAAGTGCTCTTAGGAGGCACAATGAAGTCCACAGTGTCAGAAGTCTTTTTAATCGTTTGCATTGTAAGGCTAAGAGAGCAGGAAGTAATATAATGTCAGGAATTCACAACAGCACGCTTTCGCGCAGAAAAAATGGAAACTGTGATATGGAAATTCTGCAAACAGATATCATTGAGAAACACAGCTGTTGGGTTTGTCAAGAGGAGATGAACAGTGAAGTTCTTCTTCAACATTATGAAAATCATATGAGACATGTTGTTGAAGATGGCTGTCGAAGTTGAGAAACAGTTGGGTCTTTAGGATTTGTTAATTTTCGTACCTCTTTCAGTTTATAAGTTGTCCTTTGTAACAGTATCATCTCGTTTGGTCACCTTTGATTAATTGGTTGCGTCGTAAGTTCAAGTTATGTTTGTGGTGTTTATTTTATATTGATTAGTGGACATTGCTGTGTTTTAAAATGGACAGAGCAGTTCTTTTGTGATCGTTTTCCGTTGTAAATAACAATCCTTCCACAAGTAAAAATAGGTAAACAGAGAATTGTAATCTCCGGAGTAGTCAATTGATAAAAATCGGTATCGATTTATCAATCGATAGATCGATAAAAATCGGTAAGTCTGATTTGATTGATATCGATTGTATCGATCAATCGGTAGAAATCGATGACACACTTGTCTCGTTTATCGATTTATCTAGATTATACCGATTTCATCGATTTATATCGGAAGATACATCTGTTCTTCTGTTCATCAAAAAATGAAAATTGATTTCATCCAAACAGTGAATTTGTTGACAGTTGAGTTGCAATTGAGAGTCGAAGGATCAAACAATTTATTATCACTTTTTTCCAAAAAGAAAAGTTTGAAAGAATCTTATCTTTTCTTTAAAACCCGGTTTAAAGTCTTCTTCTGATGGCCGAAATTGGCCAGGTTTGTAGGCGCCCAGTTTTTCACGATTTAGATCTGCCACCCTTTCAAAATAACATCATTTCGTGTGTAGTTACTTGCTGGAGAAGCCAATGGATAAAAATCGAAATTGATGAAAATCGATAGCGATCAAGTGATTTTATCGAGTGATAACGGAAAACGGTGAAAATCTGTCTAGGGAAATCTTTTAGTCCGAATTTCAGGCATCCCTTCGACTCTAGGGGATGTCTGAAATTCAGGCGGGGAAATCGTTTATCTTGAATTGTATTTCTCGTGGTACTTGCCTGCGAGAACTGCGAATGTAATTGAACTAAACCGTTTTTGTTTTTATGTACGAAAGGGTCACGATTTTAGAGAGAATCTTGTGTCTGTAATAGTTTCCACATTTCTTATTTTTATTTTTGTTGATCAGTTGTTACTCGCGGATGTGTTTTCTCAGCTGTACTTTCTAACTTATGCCAAAAAACAACAATGCCGGACTTAACATTATAAATCGTTAAAATCATGAAAAATCGATAATATCGATTTGACACAGCAATCTAGTTTATCGATTTTCACCGATTTCTGTTATCAATCGATAAAAATCACTTGATTGCTATCGATTTTTATCGATTGACTTCTCCGGGAAATCTGGGGGCGCAGAGCTCAATTCCTCGGACAAGCTTGTAAAGTCTGTAAATAGCCAACTGGTTTGCTTTCGGCCGGTTGGGAATCTTAAGCCTGTGGGCCGCAATGAAAACTAATGGTTTACCAGTAATTGTGTTACCCTTATAGTTAATAAAGACAGTTTTTTAATCTTTCCGTCAGAGTGAAAAAAAAAAACTTTGCTTCGTGTCGAAGGACGAGTGGGCGACCTGTGAACTGATAAGGAATTAAACCTTTGACGCTCAAAATCAGGTCAAAATAGAGTTTAGAGTTTCAGGTGTAAACAGAAGCTTAATAGTGGATGAGAACAAGTGACCAGTGCCACACCCACCCCTGTCCTTAGCCAAGGTGTTTGATTATTTCTTGATCTTTAGTCAGGGCTATTTAGAATTGTTAATGTTTCCGTTCCTAAATAAGAACTTTTCTGTTTGGAACAAGAAAAAAAATCGGTTTCATTGTTAGTGGGAACCTATTCTCATAGTTTCTGTATCCAGTCTGTGAGGGGCTCCCCCAAATCACAACATGATTAATGAGCCTTTAGCAGATGGTCAATTATGTGGACAAAAACGGCTACTTTGGCATGGAAGCAACGCATTACGACATGACAAACAAATCAAGTTATCCGAGCTTTGTGTTGTCTTTTCTGATTATGTTTCCTACGTCTTAGCATGTCACTTTTGTACAACATGCCTCAAAGCCACCTGCAAACTGCATATTCCCACGTTGGTCTCTTTTTCTGGTTTTAGTTCGTCTGCTCTGGTCCTAGGATTCGTGGAGTTTATCGATATTTGAAAACACTACAATTAGTCATTCAGGTCAGAAGATCCAGCCACTGAACTAACAAAACAGAGCTAATGATTATTGGATCAAGACAAAGACTATCTGCCCAATGTGACGATGTAGAAATCAGAATTGATGACCAAATTATCAAGAGAGTCGATCATACCAAATCCTTGGGTCTTACCATAGATGCTCAACTCTCTTGGGGTAAACACGTTGAAGAGATTTGCAAGAAAGTCTCTTCAGCTATAGGCGCCCTAAAACGTGTGCGGCCCTTTATATCCAAAGAAACTGCAATTCAAATTTATAACGCCTTAATTATGCCTCATTTTGATTACTGCAGCCCCGTCTGGGACTATTTGAGTGGTTACTTGAGTGATAAGCTCCAAAAATTACAGAATCGTGCAGCCAGAGTTATTACTAAATCACCCTTTGATGCGAGCTCAAACCACCTTCTCTCCACCCTCAGCTGGGAGAGGCTATCTCTTCGACGAAAGAAACAAAAAGCCTTAATGATGTATAAAACCATGAATGACCTTGCTCCAGAATATCTACAAAGTCTTTTCTCTCAGCGTCACTCTGCTTACAACTTAAGAAACTCTGAGGGAAGGCTGACCCTGTCCAAACCAAGCACCAATTATTTGAAACGAAGCTTCTCTTACAGCGGGGCCATGTTATGGAATAACTTGCCCAAAAACTTAAAAAACGCTGCATCCGTTGAGCATTTTAAGCGAAATATCAAGAAGGTAGCTGATATATCGGATTCCCACACGGCAATCATGTAAAGCAGTTGTAATTAGTTTTAGTTTTTAACTTAAGCTTAACTGATGATTTCCCGTGTTTAAATAAAGATTTGCATACATACATACAACTATCTAGGGATAAACAATATCCTTACTCCTCACCTACAGGGCTTGCGGAAAGGCCTCTCTTCTGAAACGTAGCTTATCTCCGTCCTTGCTGACGGGATCTCCTCACCGGACAGATGTAGCTTTAATTGACTATTTCTCAGCAGAGACTCCTACTTAAGCTTTACTGTAAGGTAATAGTTTGCTTGGGATTGAGAACTTCAACCTACTGGACCGCACTCAGGTGACGCTCAGGTTCCTGGTACAAAGTCCCTCAAGGCACCATCAAAGGGCCCCTTATGTTCCTGAGGTATACGATCAAGGATGGCGTTTTATACAAAACGTTTTTGGCAATGGAAGGATAAGTTAGATGTTTTCCAAAGTAATATTGATAACTAAGACACCTTTTACCGGTTAATCGAACTTAAACGCTTATTGACTGAAATTTTCTTGTGTTTAAATCAACGCCTTTCCGTGTTGTAAGGTGCACGAGCTTCGAGCTTAATTCGCGCGCTAGTGACAACAGTGAAGGGTGTACCAAAGTTAATAGCGGAGCTCTGGCATGCGAAGCGCGCCTGCGGAGCACCATGGGTAAGTAAATCTACCCATCCCAGAAAATTCGGTAATCACGTGACCGTACACCGCCGGCCCGTCCGTCCGCACCACAGGGAAGCCAATGTCCAATCTCACACTTTCTAGCTAGTTTGGGAGCACAGGAAGACTGATATTACACACGTATTGCACATCAATGTTGTGATTAATTGACAGCTGTCAAAACAGGGCATCCGCTGACCAGTATCACCTGACCGTATCGCGGGCTCAGGTCGAGTATCTTTTTGAAGTTATCCGCTGACAAGTTACTAGTTTTCAAATGACTGCAGGCTCAAGTTTATTTTTTTTAATTCATATGAAGTGTGTCTTATAAGGGCCCTACAATTAAGATTTCAATTTCAAAATGACCTTGGAAGCTAAAATTCAGCCAGTTCTTACAGGCAGGGAAGACATGCCAGTTGCTTTTGACTTTTCTCACCAAGGTCACGCGTTGGTCACGCTCTACGTCCAATTTTTATAGTCTGATTGGCCAAAATTTGACAGATGAGTTCATGTGCAAAATTTATGCAGCATCTTAAATCTTCTTTACTTCGCCAGCTGAAGCTGACAGAGTTTTGTGTCAACTTTTATGTTTTTAGCTGTCTTTTTCCACTGAATGTACAAAGTGAAATTCAGCTGCTATTAGGAGTCTTCTGTTATTCGTGGCTAGTTTGCTTCTTAGGTTTTTGGTTGAGAAATACGTCGCTTTGGCAAAGTCGGAAATCCGATTTCGGATGGCATCGTTTTCGTTTTTCACCTTGCTTGATGCGTAAGACGGTTGAAAAAGTCTGAAGCGAGTTCTGACCTTACTTGATAGTTTTCAGTGCATCTCGAATGGTAAGCCTGAGTAGTTATTATATTTGATGTTTGTTTTTATATCTAATTTAATGAAGTCGAGCGTAGTCAGTATGCGGCTATTTGGTTTATGCCCGTTTGTAAGATTTGAGACAATGATCTGACCCAGTATCAGGTTTGATTATAAGCTTATAGAACTTTAAAAAGCCTTTAGACATTCCCTCACCACAAACAGAAAGAAAGCGTTCCATAGAATATTTAGTTTTATTATTCATTCAAAATATTTTCGCGATTCTGATTGGCTAAAAGCACACGATTAATTCACCATAACCAGTTACTGATGACTAAATTTGGAAGAATTTTGTATTTAACGAGGAAATGAGGTCAAAAATGCAGCGTTTTCGCAGGTAAAGGCACCGTTAACCGAGAAGACCTGGGGACGAGGTTGAGTTGTTTTGGTTATGAACTTGAAAAAAGGCGGAC